GATAGGTATGTCCTCGGGAAACGTCTGTATCTCCGGAACCTTGAAGGATGAAGCCCTGGCTTGACTCCCATTTTGTAGAGGACACTCTAGGCTACCTACCCATGCAAGAAAACGATCGGGTTTCTATAAGACTTTCGGAAGCTTTGACCTGGTTTTTCAAAGATCTCCTGAAAAACCAGGCTGTGAAATTTTTTTGAAACTTGTTTTTGCTTATAAAAATATGGCTTTAAGTGTCCTCTATACGATGGTGAAAACCGCAGGCCGCTAAGACCTTTCGTTAAAAAGTTATTTGAAAAACGGCAACCGGCACGACCTTTCCGTTTCGATAATAGTTTTTCTACGTTAGTGATGGAGTCAAATATTTTATCTCATTCTACTCATCATACCACCAGTGACAAAGTTACAGACCACTTTCTTGCTTTTCTTTCCTGTGTTGAGAAAAATCGTTTTTACTGGTATCAAAGTCATTTTAGGCGGTATTCAAGGCTTTTCGAATTCAAATAATTCTCTGTCTGAATTATATATTGAATATGGAATAAGGAATACGGAATAAGGAATATGGAATAAGGAATATGGAATAAGGAAATTCTTCTTTGTCTGTCTACTACAGCAGTGTAAAACAGCTACAGTTAGTTTGTTTGTACTTGTCGCCCAACTTTACTGAAGTGCTTGTGTTTATCTTATAATATTTTAGATAACGACGCCTGGAGAATCTTGCAGATAACGCTTCAAGGAGAATCTTGCAGCAGCATCTCGTCTTATCATACAACCAGACGACTGGTTTCAAATGGTCTGGCTAAATACCGTGATCATCTTGGCCCGTTCTTTCAAATGGATGCTTTTGCTATACCTGTCGGGTTGATAGATATCGCTGTAACAACATGCAGGAACAGCTCGATGAAAAGAACCAACAATTCGTGCATACCTATGAATTTGTACAATTTGGTGGTTGGACGATCAGGTAGGGAGAGATTATTTTAAGTTTCTTAATCTATGCCCTTTTCTACTGCAGGCTTCGGCAAAACTCCTGTTCTTGATCTCGCACACAATGCTATTAACTCGGTTTTACCTTTTTATGCTGTTGAATTTGGACAACAAGAAAAAGACAAATGACAGTAGTCAAGTGCCGAATGTAGTGTTTAAAGATGGAAGTCCAGCCGGAGTTTTGAATCGTCTTACACATGGAGCTACTCATCTTCTTCATAAAGCTGATGTTACTTTCAACAGCATGAGAGTATTTATGCCCGGACCATTCGATCATGCTTCAGGTCCTTTAGAGCCGTGATTGTGGATTTGCTCGATAATCCTGGTTCATTCACAAGAGAACTTAAGACGGAATCGATATCAACAGCTGGCTCTAAATTGAATATCTTCGTAAGTTGAAAGGAGACTCTTGCACAGGATTTCTAATTTGTCTTGTTTTTTGGTTATAGGATTGTTCTACGGGAGATCTCTTCTCTTCTCAGTTAGCACGACAAGCATCAAGTGAAAGATTGTTGTTGTGGCCTCTCGATGGTGAACCAATTCCTAATGAACAATGCATTTCTGAAATCGATCGACAACGATTTCCACCGATTGAACAATTTACTCTTGTATCGTGCTATTTTGGTGATATTCGAATTGAAGCGAGCAATGAAGCAAATGATTTGCTGACTCATGCTGCATATGAGTTTCGTGTAGCTGGTAAGCTTCTTCTTTTGTTTGTCTGGCATTCGTAGTGAAAAAAGTTTGTAGATAGGTAGAAAAGCTGTGGTCCGAGAGAGCGATGCTGTACAGATCTGGTGAATTCATATTTTGTAGAAGGTTATTAAGCGTGTAGGAGTTTTCCGTCCAGAATTAAGACTAAAGAGAATAGAATATTTATGTATGTGTATTTATATTGATTCTGTTGCGAAAGAGCTGTTTCCAAACATCAAAAAATGTTGCTCTACGATCTATTAATGTTGTAAATGGGAATCTGGAACAATATAAATTACTTATGCATCGTGGTGCACAAGATGGTCAATTGTGGAGTCGAACAACGTCCTTTGCTCCCGTCGCTACATCTCTGCCAAGTAGTGTCAAAGCACGAAGTGGTGGATTATCTTTTGTTCGTCCTGGTAAGTTCAGTCTTTACGAGTTAATTAGAAAGTTCTGAAAAATGTTTACGTTTTGGGGTGTTAGACGAATAGTTTCGTATGAAGGAATAATTATTCGAAAGTTGATGAGCTCCTTTACTGGAAAAATAATCAATACAAAAATTCATCTTTTCCTGAACAGGTATTGTGCAAAAAGAAATAAGTGTTCCGACTACTACGACAATAGCAACTGCTGTGGCGACAAGCATGTCGAAGGAGGACAAACGTCGTGAAAAGTTTTTATCAGATTCAAGCAAAACGTGCGCTTCTATTTTGCTTCATAAATTGTTGATATTTCGAAAGTCTGATTTATATTACATGAGTAACATACAGAAGGCTTCTTTTTTGGATGATACTATTCTTCGGCAACTGGTGGAAAATGGATATCTACTTCATGTGGCTGGAGGAATGAAAAGCAAGTTTCACAAGGTTTCTCTTTACATCAGGGTTGTAGGAATCGTATGTTGAAACTTGCAAAGAAATCAAAATAGATGGGACAGGAACTGTATGTGTGGAGGTGTTTGATATACTGAATCGAACAGAATATGCACAACTGAATCTGGATTTGACTCCACTTCAACAACTACAAGCCAGTGAGTAGTAGAAAAAAGAAGTAACAGCTTCATTAGTCTCTTCGGTTTTACCTTAGCTTTCTGTGAGTTGAAGAAAAGGTAATAAAACAACGAAGTTAGCTCGTACCATGACTAAGCTCAGAGTTCTGTTCATATACAGGCTCTCAAATCCAGAACTCGGACAAACAATCGAACGGTAAGACACCAGAGGAAAATGATGTCTTTACATGTCTTATGTCTGTAGCAGGGTCAACTTTAGCTGATCGTCTTCTCGACTTTCAACAAGAAGATGGAAAAGGCGACTCAGAAACAGCAAATGCTGAGAAAAAAGAGGATCACAGGAAAGGTGGTGGTGTGAAACGAAAGGAAGAGAGTAATGAACAATCAGAAGAGAATGAAAAAAGAAAACAAACAGGTGAGTCCGAAGAAACACAGTTTCAACCTGTTGATGCAGCTCCCTTAATTCTTCTTCTCATCCGCTTTGTAGGAGAAACACCAAAACAAGGTGATAGCGATTTCAGTGAATACACTGATACCATAGCCTCTCGATTAACTAGACGGGCAGCGAAGAAGAATGCAAAACAAAAATAGTCATGAAAAGAACAGTAATACTTGTAGTTGATTCTACTTTTCTAGTCATGTCTACCTTTGGTTTAAACTATTTATTATGATAAGTATGTCTAACTTTCCTTTTCTTTTATTAACTTTGTTCCTATTAATTGCATTAAACATTGTCAGATATTTTTAAACACTTAAAAAATCCAGACGACGATTGAGTTGTTAAACGAATGAGCTAAGTGCTGCGGTGAAAAAGCCACTTATGCAAGTAGAAGAACCATTTATTCTAAGAAGTAATAAATGGCTTAGCCATTTAGCCTCAAGCATCCTCTATCGAATACTGAAATCCGCAGGTCTGTATCTCCTTCCTACCAAAAGTTATTTAAAAAATGATAGTCTGCCTTCTATTTTGAAACGGATAGTAGATCCCAACTGAAAATTATTGGATACTAAATATACAAAATCTCCAAATAAGGAATACTCTGCAGTTCCTGAACTCTGAAAAATCATACAACTTGCACAACGATGGCAAATAATTTGCGCTTGTTGAGATTTGCGGCACATATTAAGTGAATGGTGGTGCAAATGATTACCTAGACGAAGAATAGAACCATACTTTGACTTGTTAGATATTCTATTACAGGAATAATATGCAGCTTTGCCTGTCATTGTAATGATCTGTCATTGTAACGTTCAACAAAAGCAAATGCTTCACCAATGGTTTGGATATATTTACTCCTATTGGATACTAAATATACAAAATCTCCAAATAAGGAATACTCTGCAGTTTCTGAACTCTTAAAAATCATACCACTTGCACCACGTAAAATACCAAAAGGTTTAGGTGAAAGATAATTGTTGGTGTCATTTTTCTATAATTTTGATTTATCTGACCTACAATATACAGACGCTGCTTGCTACATCTGTTTTAGAATACTCATAAACCAAACCATTTTCTCAGTTTAAACAATGTAAGTATCAAACAAAGCGATACCTCATACACCTCCCGTGCACAAGTACATAAATATGATTTGGCTTCACTTAAAAAATGCATTATCGAGACCATGAAACAACAAAATGAGCTTGAACCACGTAATTTTTGTACTGTATGATTTTCAAAAATATCAACTAAATACGGATACTGATCAAATATATCAAACTGGCAAATTGCTGTTATTTCTTCACAAATAGTTCAATCTCTCTTACCGATATTATTTAAATCGCCAACTTCTTCCACTTCTTCACACTTAAAATTCGTCCACATTGAACCAACGACAAAAGCTTTCACTTCTCAAATCGTCATTTCTAATAGGTGCGGCAGAATAAATGGCGGTCTCAGTCTTTTCACCATAACTTTTTCAGTTTTCATGCTATCAAGCTATATTTTTTTTATCGTTTTGGGCTGTCATAACAGTCCCTCGTTAGGAAACTATAATGAAGAATTGAGCTTTACATGTTTTTAAAGAACTCATTCCATTTCTTTGAAGGACGCGTCCTTTTACAGCGTATTCGCTCATTTTCTGTGTTCAGAGTTTTTCTTCAGTGTTCAGTTTTTGTGTACAGAAAATGATAATATCGTTTCTTTAGCTGTTTTCTACGAAATGCTAAAATGGGATCATGTCTTGCGTTATATGAAATGTCAGGAAAATGCGAGCGCGCTAAAATTAAAGTGTTAAATTGGATTGAGTTTTTCAATTGTCGTAAGTATACAGTAAAGCGCCGAGAACATACAGTTTTCCTATGTTAAACGCCTTTAGATACTTCCGACTCATCCTTTTTAATTGCTTTTTAACAGAAAGACAGTTTTCTACACCGAAGACCTCGACGAAGGTCCCAACAACAGTCACCAAGAATGGTAAATACATTTAGTACTCTTTGGATATGCATACATACATATCTGTATATATAAGGTGCAAGTAATTCAAACTTCAAGTGAAAATGTTTTTTCGACTTTTTTTTATATCATTTGATAGAGCGTGAGCTGCTGATCACGAAAATCTACCTTTTAGCCTTAGTGAATGTTTTCTTCCGGTCAAAAAATACGAAATACCCGTAGGGTGTCGTTTTCTTCAAAAAACATAGTAGCAGATTGTGTTTTTTTCAAAAAATAATCCCGTATTCAAAGGCTTAAACTGTCAACATAAAGAAAAAATCTTCTGAAACTCTTTTCCATCTCTTAATAATCGTTATTGCGATCTCCCGATTGTGTTCGCGCTGATAGAATGCTGCAGCTAAGAGTATCTTTCTTTCCTTATGCTTTCAGCATTCTAGATTTTATTCATTGTCTGTTCTTCTTTCCCGGCTATTGGGGTAAACAAAACCAACAAGAGAGGAAGAGTACAAAATAAACAAGAAAACAGTACTTCGAGAATAAACTAGAAAATCGTTGTCGATTTTCTAGCTTCTTGAAAATAAATTCTGCTTTTGATTTTCAATTTGTCCACATACGAATTCAGCGGTGATTTTCAAGTTGAAAAATCGTCGTTGATTTTCTGTATAATCGATTCATGTTTTTTGGAAAATCAACGGCAATTTTACAGAAAATTAGTTTGATTTTTACAGAAAATCAATTTGCATTTTATGAAAAACGAAAAATTCTTGAAAATCACATTTTCAAGAAAGTAGAAAATCACCGATGAATTTGCATGTGGACAAATTGAAAATCATTTTTTATTTTATATAACTTATTTTCCACTTTACAGTGTACACTAGGAAAGCAAGATTTAATCAGAAAAGCTTTTAATTGACCTGGAAATGTTTCCTCATGAGCTGAATCGAGCAAAATTGAAGATAAAGCTGTCTGACATCCGGATGACAATATAATCTCGTAGGATATATCTGTGTGTATTTTTGGTAAAAAGACATAATAAAAATGATATATGGCTGTGAAGAAAATCGAAGTTTTCATTTTGACTTCAAACTTGGGAATCCTAGCGGCAGAGTCGTCTTCTTTCTTTCTTCATTTCTACTAGCAAATCTTGCTTTCCTAGTGTAGTTTTCGATGCTGATCACGAACCGAATGTTCGTTTGGTCTGTTCTTGAGCGTCTGAGTGGATCTTCAGAAATTCGATCTTTGAAGATTCATCATGAATGAGTCAACCAAGAGATTCTGATCTGGCCAGTTTTGTAAAACTCATTGAGTTATCTATCTAAAAATGTTTTTAAACTATCGAACAAGTTTCAGCCAGGGGGTGATTGAAGGGATCGATCCCCTCCCTGGACTTTCGAAGAAATGGCTTTTTCCACTGAATCCTGTGAGAAAAAGTTGCTGGTTGATAAGACGTCATCGATTTTCTCAAAAATTAAGAAAAAGTGCTTGACTGCAATAGGTTAGTACATTTATTCAAGACTTAACTCTCTAAATTTTATATCGTATATTGAATGATTCTCTACCTGAATGAATTACCAACAATATAATCTTGTTGGCTAACTTTAGGCAAAAATTTACCGGTGTAAGTCATTACATGAGAAAAAAATTTGACGAAAAATTATATTACTTGCAGACAAGTCGACTTTATGTATGTACTAATCAGGGAATCATCCCAAATGATTAATCGTTTTAACTATGAAAGTCAGCCTTTTTGTAGCCCGCATCAAAATACCTTTAGTCTCTAACTTTTTTCTAACATTTTCATTAAACCTTTTAACAAGAAAAAATTGTCTGTTAGTCATTGTGTAGTCACTATGCGTGAGAACTGTATCATGAGAAAAAAAAGTCGTAGCTTCTCTAAAGCTCAATTGGGAAGCTTAAGAATTATAGATTAGAGGTATTTTGATGCGGACTACAAAAAAGCTCACTCAGAAAACTTTTTGAACAACTTTAGTTTTGGAGTCTCTGAACACCCGGTTTTTGAATTCCGAGTTAGAAACTAAAATTGAACTAAAACGGACTTTATATTCGTAATTCACATCGTCGATTACATATAAGAAGAGTAATTTCTTAGTTAAAATGATTAATCACTTAGAACAGTTCTCTCGTATGTTCAAAAACACATCTGTTTCTCATTTTCTATATATATAAACACGCAACAATAGACACTTACAATCTTGAATAATTTTGTTTCTATTCTTTCTTTGGTATAATCTGAATAGTTTTATTCTTTTTGTTATTCGATATTTTTACCTAATACGGAAGAAAATTACCGTTTAGGCTTGTATAATGCCGATACTTAAAGTGTTCTAATCTTATATTATTAATGAGAAAAAAAATTCTCTTTATTACGGTTAGTATACGATAGTGTATTTAATATCCTTCTTACTGGACGAGAGAAGAGTCAGGAATTGATGACAACAATTCAACGCTTTGTTATTTTTGTTTTATTTAGTCAGATTCTGAATAAATTTATAATACATCACTCAAAATAAACTTCTTTTTTTTATCGTTTTAATAGTTTTTAGATGTTAGTCAAGCATTTTTAAGTTTGAACTTATTTCTATCGGTAAAACTCAACATTTGCGGTCTTGAGTCAAACGATGTATTAAATCGTAAATGTGTTACCGTTTTTCATTGAATTTGCTGATGACACAGAATTGAAAGAATCATTATGAGAAACTGAGCGATGATTATAATCATAAATATGATATCTGTTCGTTGCCCTATGATCTTTTGTAATGGATCTTTGGGAAGTCGATCTCTAGAGGCTCATCTTCGAATCCAAGATGGAAGAGATTTGATCAGTCAGTCGTATAGAGCATGTCGAATTACCTGTATGAGAACAGTATGAGACCTAAACATGGAGTTTTGACTGAATTCAAGAAAATTTCACTGAAAAAAAACCGTGAGAAGTCACAATTTTGTAGCAAATAAGGATGTCAAATTCTATGTGAACAAACAAAATAAGCAAAACGGTTAAGCGACTATACCTTTGATGTTAAAAAAGAATAAAACACCTCGAATTTAATGTACATAAATTGTTGAAAATTTGACTGTCATCATCTCTTGACTCCCTTTATTTTCTATTTCATCCGATTAGAAGGATTTTTAGATGCGGTATCGCATGCTAAAGTTAATTTAAGGTAGATTAAACTTAAGG